CGTCACCTTGAATGGGGCACTTCATACATCTATCACGCAATTTCCGAAGGCAACCTACAACGTTATTTTTTTTTCAATATAAGCCTGACGCCCGTTCCACATTTAAAGAAAAAGGCAAAAAAATGATGCCAACACACAACCAAATTAGAGGTCTGCACCGGCCGGCTGCAGCCACGGCTGGCTGCAGCCCCACGGCTGTGGGCCGGGGCGGCTGCAAATATCTCCAAGAACACGGCTACGGCTGTGGCCACGGCTGTGAGATTTCAAGCTCAATCTAAAGTACTCATATAAAATTTTTAATCCTTAATCTTACATTCTGATAAGCAGTCTAGCCTGTGAAAATCTTGCAGAGGATGCCTAGCAACATTGAAAGTGGTGAAGCCTTTGAAAACCTGTAATGGTTTTATCATTTGCCGTAGGGGAGTTTGCACTCTGGTACAGAATACTTATTATAGGTACCAATTGTTCCTTCATCATCAAGAGCTTGACAGTTTCAGAAAATGCAGCATGTTGCATTGTCACATCCCTCTCAAATCAATCTCACATGGTCATTAGGAGAGCACCTTACAGCTATTGAAGACAAGCGTTCAATAGTTCTTTCAGGTAATAGAAAAAGAAATAACGCCTAGGTAAAGGCAGGTAAAGACTTCATAAAATATTATCTAAAATAACTCTTAGATGTATTTCTGGATTTTCGGCAAGTCCAATAACATAATATAAAACTGGCGCTTTATGTTCTAACTGGTGTGTGAGTGACCGGCGACCGCTAACAGAAAATGCTGATCAAAGAAGCCAATGGAATTAGATTATAAGGGAGCATAAACATTACCTACGGTTAATTCACATGACGGTGAAACCCTGAATACGATAGTTCTTACGCGAGCTGTAGACTTTACTAATAAAATGACGTCTTTTTCTGAAAATGTAAAAAGTTGATACTGAATCTTTGTTTGAGAGCAAGTTTTAACTGTATTATTGCCTTATTACTTATTAATTAATATTTTTATGGCTGTTTGGAGAGACACAAAAAAATTATTGCCACTTCTTTGTTATTGACTTAACCCGCGCACCGACGGGGGTCTGCGCCAACTTCGCACCGACGCGACGGGGGGGGCGGATGACCGCCCCCCCCCCGAGATCTCGAGAACGAAGCAAGATAGCGACAAGCGGTAAACGGCATCGGATACGCACGGACAAGGTCTACAATTTTTACTAAGGTCATTTTCAGGTCAGGTCAAAGATGACGTCACAGGGGTCGAAAAAGTCAAAATGGCGGCGATAGATATTGAGAGTTTTTCTCGAATAGCTTTGAAAAATCGCTTAAAACTTGGTCTGAACTTTGTTGTGGTGCCTACAGAGTAAAAAGAATCAGCTTTATGACAGTAATGTGGCCTGGGGAAGGAGGTAATTTTGGGCTGTGACGTCACATATTTGAAAGTTTGTGTTTGGAATATGGGAAGCCTAAGATGTTTAATGAAAAATAAATGCCAGAACCGTGTTCCTGGTCATCCAATCTATAAAGTCGGGCACAATTTAACCCACGAGCCGCTGGGGGGGGGGCATAAAGTTACCCCCCTTTACGTTTTGTGGAATATCTCCGAAACCTGATGAGCTACGACCGTGAAACTTGGCATAGCTTCAAATGAATACCTAGGCAATGTTTGAAGAAAGTTTGGTGGTTGTAGCATCTACGATGACGTCACAGTAACGTCATAAAGTTTTGTCGTTTTCCGATTCGGACCGTTTCTGATGACGCTGAGCATGAAACTCAACTGCAAATGAACTAGACAGCACCTGCTGTCATCCTAAAACGTCTAAGTACACTTCTATCTAGTTCTTAACTAATAATCGGCCCTTTATATTCGGTCCCATATACCTGATGTATCGTGAGGAAACTGAGAGTCGCAAATCTATAATTTGACTTATGACGTCACTGTGACGTCATTTCAAATGGGATCGACACCAAATTTGGACACAACCTCGGCTAGGTATTCAGGAAGATGTGTGCAAAGTTTCGCTTCTCTATCTCTCCGCGTTGCGACGATATCGCCGCGGAAGTAAAGGGGGGGGGCAACTATATGCCCCCCCCCCCCCAGCGGCCGGCGGGTGGCGCGGAGGCCCAGCGGCCGCCGGGTTAACTGGTTTTAACAACATTTTAGAAGGTGGGATAGTTCCTTTAAATTCGATCTGAAAATGGGGGAGAAATAGGGGAGAATTAGGGGAACCTCCATAACTCCTATGTAAACACGCTTATTGACTTCGGGGCGGCCTTGGATCGTAGCTTCAACCACAAATAGGCGTCTGATAAGCTTTCAGCTGCTTCAAACATGTGTAAAGACTGCATTTGCGGTCGACGAAACTTGTACGGACATTCCGTACAAGTTTCCGGGCCTTCCAAAACTTGCACGGACACGGTCCGTAGTGTCCGTAGTGGTGGCGACGTCCATGCGGCAACCCCTCGCTCACTAACGACTGTGATTGTGTGCGCCAGGGAGGGGGCGGCGCCGCGGGGCCTGGCCGCCGCGCTGTCCCCCGGCGTGCTGTCGCGGCGCCCGGCCGCCGCGCTGCCGCCGCTGCTCTCGCCCGAGCCGTTCTGGAGCAGGTCGTCGTCCAGCTGTGACCTGCGCGCCGGCTCCGACGGCGGCCGCACGCCGCTGACACCGTCCAGCCCGCGAGGTAGGCCACCAGACACACCGGCCCACTCCAACACCCCCTTGTAGCTTTTCGCGAATATCGCGCGCCGCCGTTTTTGGCAAACCTTATCATGCATCAATTCTACACCAAGATCAGGTCACGGGGTCACTTGGTCACATAAAAAGGCTCAATTGTTTAACTTAATGATGACGACGCGCGACGATGATACAAATGCACAGTGCACATGAGAGCAGTTGCACACCATTGGGTACACGCATCATAGAGCTAAAAAGGCTCAATGTCTGCCATAACTACACCGAGTGCCCGATCGCTTTGAACCTTTCAGTGATTGCTAAGAGTATTAGTATGTACAAAATGTTTACCTCAGAATTTTGATGTCGATGACCTAAGGTCAGGTCAATTTTGCGACCTTACCATTACCTATAAGTCAATACGAGAAATCTGAAATGCGCTTCTTTTGGATGAAAGCCATTATGAACACTTTCAAACACTGAATTACAAGGAACTAAGACACACTGAACGTGAAAATGGTGTCTGCGAACTCTTAGTTATTGCCTATTCGGTGAAAACTCTGAGGGTGAAAGGATTTTGTCATATGCCCTCGGGCTACACAGAAACAAGCCGCTAAACTTCTGCCTTTTTAGCAGAATGGGACGTGTACCTATTGCAATCTTGAAAGATCTATAGCTTCAACATTTTTGAAGCCATTAATTTCAAACAAACTGGAACGTATTCATAAGGAGTTATACTAGCAAGATTTGGTAGTTTTTACATACCTATTTTGAAATTTTTTGGTTTATTTTATTTTGAATTTATTTCTTAAAATACAATTTGTGAAAAATGGGTACCCTTCGATTTTGCTCAAATTTAGATATTGTCTTCCACTACACCTATGAGAAGATTAGAGTGGGCCAACGATAACCTAAAACCCTCGCCCGCACATGCCATTTTTTCCCATCCTAGAACGCTCATGGGGGGGGGGGGGGGTGGTTGCCACCAGCCCCCGTTCACGAGCTTCAGAATTCCTTTACCGTGACGTCATCACGGCGCATGAATTTTCCTTCACCCATAGAAATGCATGCAAAGCATGGTGTGTTTCAGGCGGGCTAAGGAGAAATCTAAGGCCTACATGTGTTCAAAAGACGTACCACTAAGCCAATGGATTCGTCTCATTACGATAAATGGGGTTGAAATCGAAACATTCGGCCTATATTTATCTAAAATGGGCCAATCAAATGGTCCCTGCAACTCATAATGAAGGATTTCCTCTGCGTTGAAAAATTTGTTTCAAGTGTTTTTTCATCAGCGACAGGGGAAATCCTTCATAATTGCTACCAGATTACTACCATATTCCCTCGCATTTCTGTTGCGCATTGCCTCACAAATCAGAGTTTTGTGAAGTTTATATTAATTTAATTGTCATATTTTGACTGATTTTGGCGATTTTCAATTATTTCAACGCAGCATGGATCAGATAGCTCTCATAGTTTGCTGAAGAATGTGGCTTTTGCTTGGTTATTTTCAAGTTATCCGTGATTTGGTGCGCCGTGATCGTAGCATTATACACATTATATCAACTTTTAAAATTGAATCAACTTTTGAAGTGAAGTTCACATGAAAAATCAAAAGTTCAAGCATAATAATTGTTTAAACATAATGATGCAACATGTGTCTCCCAGATGGAACTTATATTTCAATTGAAAACTGAAAATGGAAAACAGAAGATGGATCTGCGGAGTTACTGAGATCACAAGGTGCTCTTGATTGTTGGTAATTGAAGATGTTGAGAGAACTTGTGAATCTTCATACCAGTCCTGACTTGCTTGATTGTTTGAAACTATTTTAATTCTCATAATTGTGTAATGTGTAGTGACTGTGCACACTGCGCAGCACATGTGCGCAGAAATGTGCAGGTGGCTGGTAGGTGGGTTAAACTTCAGAGATCAGTAGGCGGAACTATGGTCATGAGTACCCAAATATAGGAACGTTCCCATTCATGGGAACGAAAAACAATTTTTCGGACGTTTGCCCACAAAAACTCAAAAGTGCATTACGTCTCAAAAAAGTGCATGCCTATTTAAGTATCTTCGAAATCTCCATAAAATTATCTACAATCTCACCGTGGAACGAGGAAATTGACCGTGGAATGATATTTTAAATTATTTTTTGAAATGGAAAAATGTTGTAAATACAGGTTAAACAACATTTGACGTGGAATTTTAAGAAAAATGAAACAATTTTTGCCCTTTGACGTCAAGTAAATTTTTTTTCGCCTGGTCATGAAGTTTTATAATTAGCGATACCAAATGCTGCCATTTGCAAGCAAATGATGCGCAGCGCCCCGCGGGAATCTGTTGACACGTGGTGTTGGGACTTGTGGTCGCGTGGAACGTGAGAATTTCCCGAACTACTGCTTGAAACGCTGTTTAAGTGGTTGAAAATTATTTTACTGTATTTTGATCAGCCCTGAACGCCATATATTTGTAAGATTTCTTTGGATTGTAGCTGCTTAGCGTGGTTTTAAGGTGCGCCATGGGCGTCGTTGTTGTCATCGGTTTTTGTGACACGATGGTTTTGTGGTTATTTATTTGATATTGCCCGCTCTGTGTTACTTATTTATAATTTATTTCTTGATTTCGATCATTGCTCTTTCCCATCCTACCAGACTTTTTCCCATTCACACTCATTTAAATAGAAAAAAAGTAGATTTTCTTTGGGATGTAGGTGTTTGACAGTGAAACATATTCAGCGTTCCCATTTTTGGATACTAACTTGTGCTTGTCAGTTATCAGTGTCAAACAGGCAGGTGCTTGACATCTTTGAAATATTGATGTGGGTTGTGCTCAAAAATGAGGTTTGTATTATTTTCTGGATTATTTGCCAGCGCTTGCCGTATGGTGGCGCTAGCAGAGCTTATCACGTATCAATGCTAGATATAAACAATCAAATATTTATCTATTAATTTCTCTATGAGTGCCATTTTATGTGTTTGTGTCTATCTACTATCGTGCTTACATAATTAAACCTCATAGCTATCATATGTTGCTGGCTGGCCAGCCAGCTCATTTTATCCAGTTGTTAGTGAGGCCCAAAAATGATTGTGGTTCTGGCTGATTGCTGATGAGTCTGAACCAATGGTCTATTTGTTAGTTGTTATGGTAAATAGCTTGTCTAAGAAAGTTCCCTGTGAAATTGCAATGGACATTGAACACTGTCACTACTGTGATCATGATTTACCCGAGAATCTCTAGTTTTGTTTGTTGTGGAATGAAACAAATACTCCATTTCTTCTGCTCAAATTACCTACTTCATAAGACAAAACGCTGAGTGACGTGTGGATGCATTAAACCAAATGGTTTAAAATCGTGATTGTTATCAACACCAGTAATATTTACCAACGAAACGCACTATATCGTAATTGTCTTGTCACAATGATTGTTGTCTGATAAAGACTATTGTCATTCAGGGTCATGGAAGATATGAGCTTCGTCGACGAAGATGGCAAGCCTCTCGATGTGAGGACGCTACAGATTTTGAAAGAAACGTCACGAAAGGGCGGAAAGAGGCCTGGTGCTCATGTCTATCGGTTCATTAACAATAAGACCCATCGGAGGACAAAGTATAACAAGGCAACCAAGGTTCTCATTGAGAAGGTAATTCGTCTTTATAGGGCAATATTGTCTTAATAAAAAAATATGGGAATGTTGTGCATGTCAATGACATAGCAAACACTTTTTGAATATTCATAAAACGGAATCCGGTTTTAAGGTGTTTGTGAAGAACATTGGAAATGATGTTTACGTGTTTCCAGCGTTTTGCGCTTGGAAAACATTTTAACCTTTTTACTACCCTAAAATTTAAGTAGCATTTATATTCGTCACTGTTGTATTACGCTTGGTGTTTGGCTTTTCGTTTTATTATAACCCTGGTGATGGTAGCATGCTGCCGTCAGAAAATGCATCTTGATGTTGCTTGTATTTGTCATGCCACTGCAGTTACATTGAATGTAATGTTAAAGGGAATGTAAGGGTTTTGTAATTTTTTAGGATTCTTTGCCATAGTTTAGAGGAAAATGAAATCATTATGAGGGTTTTCTAAAAAACAAAACAAACAAAGCTGGCATATGGGAGGGTAAATGAATGTCGTTCTTTTACATTAGGCAGATCAGACAGCAATAAATTGCAAAAAATAGCATTAAATTTCTTGATATGTCCAAATCTGTAATGAACTCCATAATGTGGAAAACCCTTACATTACCTTTAACCCGCGCCGTGCTGGTGGCCTGAACTTTCCGCCGAGTGCTGGGGGGGGGGGGGGCGTTTTCACGCCCCCCCGTCTAACTCGGCTCCTGGGCCACGTAGCGACACGCGGTAAGCGGCAATCGAAAGAGCGTCAAAAATAAGGACGAAAACACTTCGGTCATTTTTTGGGTCAGGTCAAAGGTCAGGTCACCAGAGGTCACCAAAGGTAAAATGTTGACTATTTCAACATTTTGGAAACTGCCAACGGCTATCTCGGGAACCGATAGAGCTACAGCGCCGCGGAAAAGCGCATTCGATAGCCCTTTTACAGACCTTTCTGAGTAATGTTCTCAGATTTGACCTCAGGTCAACGGTTTAGCCTCCAGAGGGCAAAAACTCCAAAAATAGCCGTTTTTACGAAAAACGTTTTTTCGTCAATAACTTTTGACTCATAAGCGCCATGACATTACTTTTGCCAGCATCGTGTTCCTCTCGTCGAGACGCGTCGAATGAACTATTCGTTGACCTTGAAAGGTCATTTTGAAAATTTGACCTCAGGTCAAGGTCATGACCTGACCGAAAAGGGTCATGTTGCATATCAGTCGATCCGTATCGTCGAGCTGAACACATCTGACGTGTTTTCACCGCTCTAGCACGTCTCTATCAAAAGTTATAGCCAAAAAACTGCTGGCGACCGTTCATGACCTGAGATGACCTCAGGGGCACACAGAGGGGTCACAGGTGCATTTTTCCTATTCAGTGTGTCATGTTTACCTATGAACCGATGTTTGAGAGTGTTTTGAACGATATTCGTCCAAAAGAGGCGCATTTCAATTTTCTCCCATTGACTTATAATGGAGAGGTCGCAAAATTGACCTGACCTTAGGTCACAGATATCAAAAATCCGAGATATACATTTTATACATACTGTTACTCATATCAATCGCTGAAAGTTTCAAAGTGATCGTTCAGTCGGTGTAGCTATAGCGAGCCTTTGAACTTTTTCTGAGGTAAGGTCACTTGACGTGACCTGGTGACCTGACCTTGAACGGCCTAGGTCTGAAATTTTCACAACATGTGCGGAAATGATGTAGGAACACGTGTACCAAAAACGGCGGCGCTGCGCGCCGCCGTTTTTGAGATATTCGCGAAAAACCTGAGGGGGGGGGCGTAAAAACGCCCCCCCCCAGCACGGCGCGGGTTAACGTTGCTGTGGTGTTGGTGTTAGGGCCAAACCATCATAAATACATTTGTAAACCTAATCGTATTCTACAGGCTCGACAGTTGGAGGTCATGACGGGCTCCACGGTCCACATCAGCGTGACCAACCCAACTTACGCGAAAAGGTGCTACCCGATGGAGGAATCCCCTGTTGCTTCAGGGGATTCATCTGCTGCCCAAGCCCCAACCACATCCACCGCCTCCACCGGGGTGCAGACGGCTCTTTTCCATATTTTCCCCATTGACTTGTAATGGTGACGTCACGCGATCGGCCTGACCTCATGTGACCTCTAGGAGAAATCCGAGATATACAAGTTTTGAGACTCCTAGAGGATACTAGGTCCTGTAAGTATCATCTCGCTGTGACAGCTCCTCTGGCACCGAGGGCATTGCGAAGTTTCGGTATTTTGGAACTATTGCAGAGGTTCACGTGTGACGTCATAAGTCAGTGATCTGACCTGAGACGGAAATGCAATTGGTTTCCGAAGAAAATGCAATTGGTTTCCGAAGATGCGTATGGAAGCAAAGATAAGGTGTGCCAAATATAGCAGCCCTCTAGCTGTAAGGTGTTTTAAGCTATCGCCAAAAGTCGTGAGTGGAGCGCTACTGACTCTCCGGTCGGCCGCCGAGGGTTAGGAGGCGTGCAGGGTATCGGAAAACCACCTGGTACTTTGCGAATTTTGCCGATAAAAATATGTTTCTTATGCCGACTTATAGCCAAAAGACCACTGAATCTCAAACCAGTCGTATCCTTGCACTAAATGGCTTGGTTTAGACACGATAGGTCTGAAAAGAAAAGGTCCCATGTATTCTCTATGGGCGCCGCGAGGCCGTTGGCACCAGAGTTTCGGGAAGTGCCCTCGCCACAACCGCACGTGCAGATTTGGTCACGTGACCAAGCGCATTTGCCGCCACTGTATTTATATACACTGTGCAGGAACCAACGTTTCGTCGGTCAGTTCGCTTTCAGTGCGGGCATTGTAAAGAATACGTTCTGTCATAGCCGTTCAGTGACTGATCTCGACAGCAGCGCGTTCCCAGCAGGGTCCTCCACCACCCAAAGGCAAATGATGTCGGCAAATGCCAAGAAAGAAAATGTGCTTCACCCTGATGGTGATATTGATGTGTTCTTCGACAACAACCAGGTGGTGAAACGTTCAACGCGATTGATGGTCGGTGGTCAGCCGATCATGAGTGGTTGCACGATGCTCATGTCCATCCAGTCGCAAGATAGTGAGGTGCAGAGGGACCCTGAGATGGCACCAGGGATATATGAACAATTACAGGGGGACGGTCTGACTCAAGCCCTTGAAGATGTGGATAAAGTGGAAGATGCGCTGTCGAATGACTTTCGGGCTTACAGAGATGCATTCATGCACAACCAGCTGCAGCAGGTGGTGAAGGAGCAGATGATGCAAGAAGGGGCGGTCGTCGACTTTATTGATGTGCGTGCGGCACAAGTGACAGCTGGTGTGGAGAAGATCTGCTGTAGAGAATGTCTGCACGTCTTCCAACAATCCGAAAAGACTTGCTCGTCATGTGGCACTCATGTTGAGAAAGATGTGTCTCGCCAAAACTCATGCGACTTTGTCGAGCCTCAGCACTCCCGCCAAGCGAGCTGTCGTTTGGGAGAAGTGGTTGAAGACATGCCTAACTCTTTTGCTTCTTGCGAAACCGTGCTAGAGGCAATAAAAAAACAGGCAGGTGTCGGATCGACTCGAGCGTGGGTGTCGGTCGGCTGTGACGGCCAGCCCTACGACCTCATCGCTAAAATGATAGAAGAAACTATCGTTTGCCGACACTGTGAGTTGCTCATGGATGCTGACGACTTGGTGAAACACAGCGCAGCCGAGCATCCGAACATGCCCATCTCATCTGTCAAGTTCTACCACTGGGTCATGCTCCGTCCAGGCCTAGGTCACATAGAAATGAACCTGGCCAAGGCCTTGTTCAAGATTATGTGGATACCGCTAATAAGACATGTAGCACGCCTCATGGGCTTTAAAAGCCCGAACTCTATGGCTTTTATTCAGAGCTGTGGCAACCATCATTTGACATTTCAAATTATCAAGGTGATCCTCAACAGCGTAACGAAGGAGCTTCTGCTTCCGTACGTGCGACATTGCTCATCTGAGCACAAGGAGCCGTCTATCAAAGACTACATGTCGTGGGCTGCAACGGCGACAAACAACGTGTACCAACTGGTGCGAAAGTTCATGAACCTGCTCACAGCGTTCAACATGATGAGAACAGGAATTCGTCGCAACAACGATAGAGCAATGCTGGCTGGCCGCCAAAAGCTGGCACCGGTGATGTTCATCGGGAAGCATCACATATATCAACGCCTGCTGATTCGCGACATCGTTGTGAGACAGCAGCAGCCAACGCCAATCAGACAGTACGTGGCCAACACATCCGCATACACAGTATCTGGAGACGACACGCGAGGCGAAGGAGGAGACTTCATACTTGAATCAAAGAACAAAGACACAAAGTCGTGGCTCCCGCCGGGTGTGCCTTCCCAGGCACAGTGGACGCATGCTGCGCGCTGCACAGAGCAACTGGAAGATCTGAAGACAACAGTACTCGACAGGTACCAAGTGCAAGGAGATCTCGATGATCGAGTGCTGTCGCTGCAGTTGAGTGAAGACTGTGTCCGCGCTGAACTGCGCCGCCTGAAGTACTTAGCCACACCATTCAAGGACACCGACCTCCTAGTGTCGCTCGATGGAGAGATTCTTCACCCCTCCCTCGTCAATTTCGACGTAGTGGCTCAAAAAAACTATGCTGTGGCCAAGCAGCGTTTGGTGGGCTCAACCGAGTGCAAGATGGAAAAGGTGTTTGTGACCGTGGACGATGCGGCTGCAGGAAAAATGACAAAAGCCGAACTATGCGACAACATGAAAACCATGATTGACGCCATTCCGGCTCCGCATGCTCGGGCACAATGGAAAAAGCTCCTGAACAAGGTTAAGGCCAAATCCAAGGCCGAGATGCTCACCCTCCTGGAAGAGCTTGAAGAACAGAACGCTGGCAAAGCCGGAAGTGATGATCCTGATGTATATAACAACTGAATGCGTCATGCGCACGGACCATGTCTCGGTCCTGCAAAACTGGAGCATGCCCATCTTGAACTTATACTTGGTGCCTCTCACCATGATGTTGCGCTTTCTATTCAACTGCAAGTGTCAACTCAGCATTCCAGTTTTGCTGTTCTGAACGTTTTGCCCTTGGCTATGCCTATGTAAAAGATAAGAAGTTGATATAAAGCTCCTGTATATTTTTGACTGTGTACTCTCAACGATAAGATCGTCATGTTGCTGAAGATCATATTTGTATTTATATGACAAACACACACGCACACACACACACAAATATTGGGATGGTTCAATACAAAGATTTACATACAAAGATTACATACAAAGATTATGAAGAATTCAGGTAGCTGGGTGCTTTGGCCCTACTTGCATTATTGCAGCTGTTCATAAATTTCAGCTAAGTTATGTGTTAGAGGCTGATTTGACTGTTCCACTTTATTAAGTTGAACAAATTGTTGGCAAGGTGCATATTCTTTATTTGGTTTTGTACTGTGCAGGTTTCCTTGGATGTGTCGGTGACCAGGGGCCCGGGAACGATTTTCAGGTTGGGGGGGGGGGGGTGAGCCTAAAATACCTGACATGATGCATATGAAGCAGTGGCGTAGCTAGGGGTCTAAGGGGACACTTACCCCCCCCCCCCCTATCGGGTTCAAAGGGACCCTCGGGTCCGAGAGGCCCTTCGGCGCCATTTGACCGCTGAGGGTTAACGATGGCCATATTCCGGCTCAGAAGGGCCCCAGGGGGCTCGTTAGAGCACCTCATGGGCCCTAAATAACCACACTAAGATCTCCATAATAAGGGCCCACGCCGGCTTCTGAGGGCCTTTTGCAGACTTTAAGGGCCCCTTGGTAGTCTCCAAAGGCCCGTTACTGGCCTCTTAGAGTTCTTACCGGCCTATGAGGGGTCAGTTCTAGGGGCATTTCCCGCCTGTGATGGTCACACACTTATTTTTCTAAGGCCCCATAACAGCAACTGTGGGGGCCCTCATCGGCGCCTATGAGGGCCCTCACCGGTGCCTCTGAGCGTTTCACACCCCCCAACTCTGAGTGTCTACACCAGTGCCTATTAAAGCCCTATATCGGCGGCTCTGAGGACCCAACAGTCAACACCTGCGCATCTAAAGGCCACCCACTGGTGACTTTTGAGGGCCCCACACCGGTGACTCTGAGCCCCGAGGGCCCCACCGGCGTCTGACAGTACCATGCCGGTCTCTAAGGACCCCACAAGACTTCTTCTGCCAGCCTAAGGGCCCCTTGCTGGTCACTGAGAACCCCCTGCCGGCTTGTAGAGGGTTCGCGTCAGCAGCTCAAAAGACCCCACACCCGTCTGTAACGGCTCCACACCAGCGTCTATGAGGGCCCACAGCAACGCCTGTAAGGACCCTTACCGAGACCCCCCCCCCTCTGAGAGGATCACACTAGCACCTCTGAGCGTCCACACCGGCACCTGCATGACGGCCCCACACCAGTGCCTCTAAAGGTCCCTTACCGGCAGCTCTGAGGGCCCTACGCCGGTGATTCTGAGGGTGTTATCGATAACCGAAGACACCACACAAGCCCTTATGTGTCGCCGAGTCCCATACCGGCCTTCCGAGGGCGCTACGTCAGTGCACTCATTGTCCCACATCCCTCCCTCACACCCGGAGCGAGTAAACTGTGTTATACCTATAGCAACGATTTTACCACCGTTGTACGTTATGTATTTCTCAAAGTTGACTCAAAATGGTCCAGTATAAAATTTAGCATGCTAAACTTATGGCCAAGGCCAGGCCCAAACCAAAGCGGGATGACAATAGCAGATGTTGTCAAATCGATACTGTATCAGCAGAAACCATTCGGATGGCTAGGAAATGGTGTGGTGTGTTGATGTTTAGATGTATACCTAAAGGAAACAAGAAGGAAATAAGTCCGGAAAAGGGAGGAAAGATCCTTTAACGCTGCCTCAATGTTGAGGGGGCGCCGCCCCCTCGGCTCTCAAGTTTGGGGGGGCAAGCGCCCCCGCTGCCCCCCCCCCTCTTCCCGGGTCTATGTCGGTGACCGTCCGGTCTCGTTCCCATTTTTGGAAATATTTGTCATAATGGAAGCTATGCAGCGTTCCTATATTTGGATACCCCGGTGTGG